CAACATTTTCTTAAAAAAAGACTGAAGACAGAAATACTGTTTATTGTATCGTTCAAATATATGTGCTGCTAAATTAAAAAAATGTGTTTCCTGCTGGTTAGAGTCTATCTGAGTAACATTTGTGTAAAGTATGTGGATTCATTTAGTTGTGAACAATGTAACATCTGTGAAACGTGATTCTTAAAATAAATGCAGGATTCAATGGATCTAGCACTAGTCAGCCTGTACAGGATATTACTCTACCCTCCTCCACCCACTTATTTAAATAATAGTCTTAAAATTATGAAAATAGTCCTAAAAAATTGTGAAGGTAAGAAATTAGTATTGAGACTGTTGAAGTAAACGAGCAGTAACACTGACTGTGCTGAGAATTAATCATGAGTGGGGCATGAAATGTGGCACAAAAATTGTTAATGTATTTTGTAGTAACACCTTGCAAACTGTGTCATGGCTTGACTCAGGATTGGCAATTAAACCAATGACAACAATGCACTTTTGATCCTCTGCCCCTCCCGCCCAGGTAGGGAAGGGAGAGATTAAGGAGAGACATTTTCCAGATTGAAAACTAAACTAGACAGCTGTAGTTAAATACTAATGATGAGTACAAATGTATACAAGTATGTGCAGGAATGTGCAAACCCCATATCGCCTCCCCTCACCCCCAGAAACCCCCACAACACTCTCCTTAGCAGTGAAAAGTTCTAAAATGTCCCAGAGCTGCCAGAGAGAGCAGAAGAGCAGACAAGAACTGAGGGCAGAGTTACAAGGATCAACAATGGACGAGCCTAGGATCAGCAGTGATGGATAGATGAAGTCCTCCCTGGGTAACAGGCATGAATGGAAGAGAAGAGAAGAGAAGAAGAAGGGCTCGAGTTCCGTGATCTCTGACTTTACACCAAGTGCTACATGGATATATGGAATGGAATACTTTGGTTTACTGGCTTTACTGTCTTTCTAGTCTGCTCCTCCCTATGGGAGAGTTGTAGATACAAGTCTTCTGCTCTTTTAGCATTCAAAGCAGTAGATTCAACAATTAGAGCAAAGTGTCCTTGGTCTCTCGGCATGAGCTATGAAGTGCATTATCAGTCCACCAGCTGGAAAACTTGTGTGCTGTGTAAGAGAGAGTTCACTGAAGAAAAAAACAATCAGTAAAAGGAAAATTGCCTGCGTCCTGGCTCAAACCAGGACAAACTGCATGGCTTTAAGGTACTGAGTTGGCTTAGGCATATGGCCAGCTCAGCAAAGGTCTGCGTCTAACAAAGATGTTACCTGAATTTTCATATTTTCATATTTCTCATGTAGTGTGTCATCTAGGTACTGTCTGTTTGAAAACTGAAACATTGGCAGTTAAACTACCTGTGAGTCTGTGAAGGGCCTGGTTTGCATTCTGACATTATTAATTCAGCGGGTTCTGTGCTAGACCTAGCATTATTGTTATGTGATAGTCTTAATACTGTCTGGATGGCAGCTAGCTAAAAAAATGCTTCAGTTGTCTTTGATCCAGAACAGGAAAATTTCCTTTGAACTGGTTGATAGAGTGAAGTGGGAGAGGTCCTTTATGCAGGCAGCTTAGCACCGTCTGCCTCTTATGTCAGTGCTGCTTTTGGACTGGTGGTTATAAAGCAGCCTGGATTCTTCATCAGGCTTACAAGGCTCTGTCTAGAAGCAGAATCAAAACTATCAGTCTTCTGTTCACACCACACTGTATTGGTTGAAGGTTTGGTGATTGGTAATCACATCAGATCCAAAAAGTGAGAGGGAGTAGGCTGACACTTCTGTATTCCTTTAAACCACGGATTTAAAATCACAGAATCATTTAGGTTGGAAAAGGCCTTCAATATAATTGAGTCCAACCACAAACCTAACACTGCCAAATTCACCACTAATCCATGTCCCTAAGTTGCCACATCTACATGTCTTTTATCTGCCTCCAGGGATAAGGACCATGGTTTAAGGCCTAGCCAGCAGCTAAGCACCGGGAAGCATCCAGTGGCATGGGGAGCAGAAACTAGTAACAAAAAGCTTGTGGCTTGAGACAAGGACAGGGCAGGTTCACTGATAGTCATAGACACAACAGACTCTAGTTTTGGAAAAAATCAACTCAGATTAGCATAATGGGACATAAACCCACATCTTTAAAACACTTTCCCCCCACCCCTCCCTTCTTTCTGGGCTTGATTCCAGTCTTGATGTCTCCATCTCCTCCCCCCGCAGTGACACAGGGGGACAGAGAATGGGCATTGTGTTCAGTTCATTATACATTATTTTCTGCCTCTCCTTCCTCCTCAGGAGGAAGACTCCTCACACTCCTCCCGTGCACCACTTAGGGTCCCTCCCACATGAAGAAGTTCTCCACTAACTTCTTTACTGGGAGCCCTTCCCATGGTCTGTAGTTCTTCATGAGCTGCTCCAGTGTGGGTCCTTTCCACAGGCTGCAGTCTTTCAGGAGCAGACTGCTCCAGCATAGGTCCCCCACAGGGTCCTGCTAGCCAACCTTCTCCAGTCTGGACTGTAATCTCCACGGGTTCACAGGTCCTACCATGAACCTGCTCTAGCATGGGCACTCTATGGATTCACAGCCTGTTTCAGAGACATAAGCCTCCTTTTGCATGGAGCCCTCTGCCGGATGCAGGTGGATATCTGCTCCAGCATGGACCTCCATGACTAAATCTGTGCAGCCTGTTCCAATGCTTGACAGCCCTTTCAGCTGCTTCTCATAACGCTTTTTCTCTAGACCCTTTGGTAGCTTTATTGCCCTTTGGACACGTTCCAGTATCTCAGTGTCTTGTAGTGAGATGCCCAAAACTGAAAACAATTCTCAAGGCGCAGCCTCACCAGTGCCAAGTACAGGGGGACAATCCCTTCCCTAGTCCTGCTGGCCACACTATTTCTGATAGACGCCAGGATGCCTTCCCGGGCACATAGGATAACTGTAATTTCCAATGCTTGTCATAATTTATCTGTGTAGATTTTATTTTCAAAACTTACTTGTTGTTGCTGATTTTGGTTTTTTTTCATACTTCTTAATTTTCTTCTTTCTCTCATGTAACTATTAACCCAAGTAAAATTTGAAACTGGAACTTTGTTCTGTTGATGTGACAGAACAAAATAATTTCCATGTGCTTTTAAGCTACTCTGTGGCCTAGTAGAAGTCATTAATGCTTGGATGTTTTTCCCCAAAATGCTGTCTGAATGAGCATGTTAATAGATGGATGGGTATAATGAGGCTGTATGTAACCTGTGCTTGTGGGCTGAAAACCTTTCTACCTGTTTTGAAGAATACGCCTATTCAGTAGCTCATTGGTCTTTCTTACAAGCCAAACAAGGGCATACTCTTCGTTTTACAAATCAGCTTTCATGTTTTGTTGTCTTTTCTGGCAACTGTATTTTAAGTGAAATTTCATCACCATTTTCATTCAGAAAGGTCTTCATTAGGCAGAGGAAATGGACACGGTGTGCATCATTGCCTTAGGAATGAAGAACGATTGCTTACCTTATGTTAATAAGAATATATATATATTCTGTATTAATAACCTGCTCTTGTATTTATTTTTATTGGGAGTTAGATATTTCTGAAGGAGTTGAGGATTAGGTTTAGGATTGGGATAAAGCCAGCAGCAGGCCAAATACAGCTGGAATTGGACAAAAGCTTGAAACAATACCCATGTAGTTACCTTCTGAAAGGGAAGGAATGTATTGAGAATTCATAGTCCATATTGTTTCCAGTGATGGACGTGATTCTCACTAAACAACCAGCTAATTTTAAGTAGATGCTTGCTTTTAGTGTCTGTAAGATATCTTTGTACTATTTTGATGGTCATGAAATTGAAATGGTTGTTCATTTCCTGGTGCTTTCACTCCTGCTCTGCAAAGTTGCGACTGTCTTCCAGAATATCAGAACTATTAAATAGGCCTTAAGGAAAAAAAGTCCTGCATTCTGTTGTTCTGTTCTTGTAAGAAGATGATTTAAGATTCTTCTTTGAATGGTGATAAGTTTTCTCTAGTTTTTGTTATGTTATTGTTGTCCTCTAGGATTTGGATCCTAGTAGAATTGTAGGATTTCACCATGAAACCGTTGTATAAATTACACATAGTATACTTCATGTGTCAGATTGAGATTAATTTTTGATAAACAGTTGAGTATTTTTTTAGAAATGGTAAAACATTTCCAGCAGCATGTGAGATCTGCCAAGGCAAATAACCAAAATAGATGCAAAACAAGGATATAAATTAAAAACATTCAGTGTACCTAATTTGTACACACAGATGACTTTTCAGCTTCATAAGGAGTAACGTAAGGAAGGGACAAATTTTGATGATGTTGTGTTTGCTGATATGAATGAAAACATTAATAATTTAGTATTTTTTAAAGTTTATGATACTTTGACAATTTCCTATTAAAAAATAAATCTAATGGAAACTTTGTGCATTTGAAATTTAATGTGTAGCCTGCCTGGGCTAAAATCATAAACTAGGAACAAAATTACCAGAAACACAGATACCTGTTTTGTTTCATACAGATTATTGTCTGTTTCTGAAGCTGCACTGATACAATGGGCCTACGTGTGTCCAAAGTACAGACAGGCAAAAAAAACCCCCAAAACAAAGTCTCTCTTACCACTCTGTTGTTACCACTCATCCCCTCCACTCTCTGAAAGGGGGAAATGTGTGAAGTAGCATGTTGATTATGAATTTACAGATTAAGTCGCTTTTTGTGCTATCTTTGTGCTTATACTTTTCACCTTCCACAGATTGTTTGAAAGAAAAAGTCAATAGGAGCGCTGCACACTTTGAATTAAGGTTATAAGACAAGCTCATGCTTGAGTGGGTAATTTCAAAATACGGGTGGGGATTAAGATTTTTTTGTTTGTTTATCTGAGTGTTGATTTTTTGAGAGACGGAATATATACAAGAGGATAGGTTAAGAAATGTTTATGAAATGTCACTTTTAGCAGAAATGTTTGAACATGCTTTCACTAAAACTGCCACTTTTTCTACAGCTTCTGGAAAAACATAAGAACACAGAGAGCATGGTAGAGCTGCTTGAACTGTATCAAATGGAAGATGAAGCCTACAGTAGTCTTGCAGAAGCTACCACGGAGCTCTATCAGTACTTACTACAGCCATTCCGAGATATGAGGGAGCTTGCAATGCTTAGAAGACAGCAGATAAAGGTATGGTAAAAGTAGCTATACTTCTTATTAATAGACAGAAATTGTGCTTTTTTAGTTACTATTTACACTTAATAGCATCTATTTTGCAGTATGTGCAGTGATGGTTTCTCAGCTAGAGGTAGACCATATTTTTCAGGTTCTTCCATGCAGAGCAGTGCTTTTGCAGGGTGAGGACGTCTCTGACATAGGTAGCTAACCATCACCTGCTTAAGTTACTGATTTTGAATCTTTAAATTTGCTACTGAATTTAGTAGGTGGAACTTAGAATTGGGTGATTACTGGGAATACTGTCTAATATATAAAGTAGAAAGAAACATGAGTAGAATATATATGCTCTTAATAAGTCTTTTAAAAGATTGTACAGGAATTTAATGTTAGTTTTCTGAGATAAGTCGGATAAACAATGCCAAGTCAGTAACTTCTCATCTGATGTTGTGAAACACTTAAACATGGAAGCATATTACAAGTGTAATACACACTTTAACAGTATATTTTCCTAAGAGCTAAGGGAGTTTAGCCACTTGAAGAATACTACATTTTGGTAAAACTGTTGTATAGTGCATGTGTTAGGTTTATTTAAAAATAATTCTAATTTTAAATACTAAACAAAAAATAACAGATGACTCCTTATTGCATCTCAGAAGTACTTTTGATAAAATCATTCATTCCTATATAGATTTTAAAGTCTGCAGCCTTCTGATTTTTCTAATATATTTGTTGTAACATAGAAGCTAACATGAGTTTGTTTCATTTAATCTGTATTGCAAATGCCAATATATCTCAGCTTGGCACTTTGTTCAGTTAGCCAACATTGGTCTTACCGGTTTCAATTTAAAAATACAGTGGTTTTCTCTGGTTTCGAGTATAGAATGAGGCAGGCTTGCAGGAGGATTTATGATTCCATAACTAGTTTTAAGCTATTATTATGTCCATAAAAAAATTCTTCAGTAAGTTGAGCAATCTGAAACTAGTGCAGTGAGTTAATGTGATGATATTTGAACTAAAAGTGCTTCTCCTCTGGCCCCTAAATGATAAATGTTACTGCATAGGAAATAGGGATGAATTTTTTTTTTCTTTTCATATTTATTATACAGTTGAAGATTATGAACATTACATGTAATAAAAATCTTTTTCAAAGTATGATGAAATAGTTCCCATTTTATTTGAATTTTTAGCAGAAGAAAATATTTTTTTTCTTTTGTCAAACAAGAAAAGGTAAATATACTGAGTAAGTAATAAGAATTGAGAAATGTGTTTTATTTTGGGTTTTTTTGTTTTGTTTTTAACCACAATATTCTCTTAAATTCCAGCAGTAAAATACTTAATATCCTGTTTTTCATGAAAGAATAACCTTTACTTCACTGGCACGTTCTGTGGTTGATTGTTTTAATTGTACGTAGTTGCCTCTAATGTACATGAAGTTCTCTTCCTAACTTGGCAATTTGTGAGTTACAAAACTTGCTCATCTGTATTATGTGGTAGTGAAAGATGCCATCTCTCGTTTTTAATTTCATTGTTTGAGAGAAAGCAGTACTTGTATCCATGATGACAAAATATGTATTATGCTGGGTAGCTAGAGTAGAACAACTGCTTTATAAATAGAACTTGTGCATGAAATGTTTTGTGTTAACTTTCTGCATATGTTTTTCTGGCAGGCTTAATAATGGAACAAAGATCCTTGGGTTTCTGTAATCTTTTATGGCTGGAGTTAGTTCCATTTTCATGCATAAGAGACGTATCTCTGGTTCTTTCCTGATCCATACCTCAGTGAAATGGGAGCTGTGAACATATAGTACTGTTTGCATATAAAGAGTGACAAGGAGAAGGATAAACTTTGGATGTAGGGCAGGGTAAGAAAAGAACTTACATAATGTGTTCCTAAAATGAAAAAAGGATAATTAAGCTTGAATCTAAGTAGTATTTAGTCAACATTGCATATCCCCTTAATAGCTTTATTTAACAGTTTAAGACCTTTTCTCTATTAAGTATTTGATTTTGATTTGTGGGAGAAATAGTTTTAGTTCTTTTTTTAAGAATTTGGAGGTTTTAATAAGTTTTAATCTGTTTAATTTTGTCCGCTTTCAGAATAAGTTGCAGAGCAAATTAGTTGCTTTGCCTCTAGCTTTGAGAAGAGTGCTTAGTGTCTTCTCCTTTTGGAGGAGGCATAAAAATGGGAAGATACATAATGGATGTTAAATTTCTGCTTTTGGTGTGAGACTTGTAGCAAGAGACAAACCTACAGGAGGGAAAAGAAACAAACATGGACTTCTGTCCACTTACCAGAGGCTTATTAGAGTAGGACAGATATATTCTCTGCATTTTTTTTTTTTTATATATTTTATTTTTTGGAAAACCAACCCAACCCAGAACAAAAGTTCTTAGCAAAACATTCAGAAGCTTGAAAATGCAGGTTAGTTTTGTTCATTATAGAAGTCTTGTGTTTTGTTTTGTTTTTTAAATAATATTTTCACTTCATTGTATTCGAGTTTTTTGGGTGTTTTTTTACCTCATTTAGTGTGAAGGATTAATCATTTAGTATGGATGAGGTGTACTGTGAATCACTTAAGTATTAATGAATTTGAAAGACATAATGAAATGTAGAAGATTATGGAAGGAGGAAAGAATGGCTTACTATGCAATGAAATGTCACTCTGGAAAACTGACTGCTGCCTGAATTTCTGTTTAATTCTGGACTAGGCATCTGATCCTAGAACAATGCGTTCAGTAGTGATATGCTTCTCATTTTGGGAGCTTCTAGCTTCAGAAACCTAGAAACCTAGTACATAGAAATGCTTAATACTGTAAGTGCTTCTTGTGGTTTAAACACAGCCATCAACTAAGCACCATTCAACCATTGGCTCACTCCATCCTGGTGGGATGGAGGAGAGAATCAGAAAGGTATAAATGAGATCCTGTGTAAGCACTTCTCAGCAGTAACTAAAATATCTCTGTATTATCAAGCCTGTTCTCAGCACAAATCCAAAACACACCTCCATACAAGCTACTTTGAAGAAAATTAACTCTACCCCAACCAAAACCAGCACAGTGCTGTTCAGATCCATGGGGACCTCACTTTAAGCATGATGACATGATTAGCAGGTAGCATGCATGCTTGAAAAAAAAAAAAAATGGACACTGCAAGCACACCAGTGTTTGGGACTTAAAATTTTACTATATACATGATATGGGAGTAATCTGGCTTCCCTGGCACCTTTATGAAGGACACACAAATAAATGCCAATTTGTAATGTATGGTATTATAAAATTGATAAACACTCATCAAAGAAGCAAGTCCGTTCTAATTTCAAGGTTAAAATGTAAAATATGCTTACTAAACATATTCTGTGTGTCTAGTATGACCATATTTGGTGACGTAAGTGTGAAAAGTTGTCTTGATAAGACAGCCAAACACTCAGAACTGTGACTATGTTCACTGAATGCTGGAGAAAATACAATAAAGGAATTGAAGACGGTATTATAATTTATATACACACAAAAGGTGTGCTAAATTTGTACAGGCATTTTTGAATATAATTATTTCTAGACTGTTGCTTAATTAGGTGTGATAATATGTAAACACATGCAACCAGTTAACTTCACTGTTTGGCTTACGGTCTGTTTATTCCAATATCAGACTCTCAGGTGTTAACATAGGCATCAGATAAGTGAAGCTTGACATTCAAGTGCTGTATTACATGTTTTCTCCTATCTGTATGTTTTTTATGAAACCAGAAGGCAAGCAATATTTATAGATTATTTTATTTAGTGTTAATTTGGAATTCTAAATTGATTTTAATTGTGCTCTTTTTTCTAGAAATAAGACTTCTGAAATAAAACTGTAATATTTATGATCCTAAAAATGTTTCACCTTTATACTGGCAAATTTTTCATTTATCAAAATGGATAATTTCCATGTGAAAATTTAGCGCTGCTATTTTGCTTGCCTTTTTTTTCCTTTTTTTTTCTTTTTTTTCTTTTTCTGTTGGAAGAATGCACATTGTCATAGGAGAAAAGTGGGAGGTTGTAGACATCAATAGCTGGCAACCCGAAGGTGGAATAGTTCTCCCAGAGCTTGGAAGAAGCAGAGTAAAATACTTGTGCTCTGATGCCTTTGGCTTCAGATAGTTAAATCTTAATTTTGTCAGATCCTCTGTATATAGTGCAGTCATCTTCTGAAAGTGTGGAGGGGAGGGACTAATTAATGATAGATATTTGGCCATAGAACCGGCTGACAGGTTGATAAGATCGAGCACATTATGACTAATATGTTAAGTATTCTTTGATACAGGATACTAAATCTGGTTAATAAAAAAGAAAAAAAAATTCTTACAAAAGAATAACTTAATGGGCAAAAACCCAAAGCCTTTTGTGTATGTACCTTTGTGTTCACTGGCCTTAACAGAGAGAAAGAAACTACCTTGCTACTTTAACGATCTTGTAACTGCAGACAGTACTTCACATTCATGTTGAATGGGCACTGTGTTAGATCAAATCCCAAGTAAAATCAGTGGGAGGCTTTCTTTTTCCATGCCCTTTGTTCCTCCCCCCACTTGTTTGTTGTTTTTTTTTAAGGTGCTTGATTATGATGAAAGATAAAATATAAGATAAATTATTTCATAATCTACATGTAGATACCAGCAAAACTTTGACACAAGGATTCTTGAAGGTCTGAGTTGCACTGGATTTGCTTAATTGAGAACTGATAATATCTTAATATAGGTGAGAACCTACAGTCATCACTACCTCTCAGTTCTTATCCATGAAATAAGAGCATTAAAATGTAATTATATATTAAATATATTTAAAAGCACTCTTAGTTTAATTGCATATTCATTATTTTCACTGACACATTATTTCACTTGAATGTGAGGGTTTTTTAAGGACCTTGAATAAACTAATGTTGAGGTCTGGAAAGAAGAGATTAGAGCATCATATAGCTTGATAAGTCATGAAATTCAGTTTTCTGTGTTACACTTCCCTTTCATTCTCCGTTAAGCAGATAATGGTATACTTGAAAATGTAACTCTGGGTCAGCTGCATGGAGATTTATTTCTTAGTTTAATACTTGATGGGGAATTGCAGTAGTGAACCTTATAACTAATTAAACTTTGTGTAAAATGAAATACTTAGAAATACAGTATACATTTAACATTTTAGCTTTTGGTTAAAAAATATTTTCACAAGGTGTCATTTGAAAGAAGTTCAGACAAGAAGGTAACTTTAATGATGAGTATAGCTAGTAAAATACAATCACTTTAAAAATACTTAAAGGGATAAGACTTTAAAAAGTCTCACAGTCAACTGAAGATATTTTGGAAAGGGGTCTGACTTTCATACTCTTAATTTACTGGGTTGCTGTCATACATCAAGTGGATGAGTTCTGTTTTACTAAATCTATGTTTATATCATTGGATCTTGAATAACTGATGTTTTAGTGACCTGATTTTTTAACTGCGCAATTTTTTTAAGCCTCATATTTTTGAGTGCATGGTGGTCTTGCAGTGAAAAACATGAATACAAATCTACACAAGGCATGTTGGAGGACACTAAAGTAGCACTGATTGAAACATACAATTACTTAATGGCAGTCAGCTCAATTTCTTTCCTCTCAGTTTGTGAACCACACCCACAGTAATTATAGATTAGTAATTTACTGAAAAGAAGTTGATGAAAAACGTCTGGTAGAAAACACTAGTGCTCAGTGGAGTAAATGAAAACACTTCAAAGAATTCTGAAGTCTCTTCTAGTACATTTGTAGTTGAAGATGTGTCCTCACATCATCACAAGTCGTAATTAAATAAACGTGGCTTTTGAAGAACCTGTAGAATAGGGAAAAATGATAATGACTGGGTGTGCAAATCAAGTTGGTAAGCTTTGTTGAAAATACTGCTTTCTTGTTTCAAAAACTCATGCAATGTGCTGTATTATGCTATGATAGTCTTCGTAGTCTCAGAGTCTGTTTCAGAAGTTACATGCCAGCTTCTGTTTACATTCTGAACTACAGATCCTCTAGCTTTATTATACGAACTCATAGCAAAACATTTTGCTGACTTAAAATCAGGGTGTTATGGGGTTTCGAAAAAATAATGCTTTAAACAGGTGATCTTACGGAAGGCAAAGCTGGTAGTCCTAATCAGTGACAAAACTGAACTCTTGGGACGAGGTTCCTGACTACTACCTAAGGCATGTATCTGGTTACTTAAATCTGCCTGTATGTAAAGTGAATAGAGTACAAAACTGTACTCTGTACTCTAGTACAAAACTGAAAAAATGTTCAACTGTAAAACTGCTTATAAAATTTGTAGAAAAATCTGATTGCGTTTAAATGTCAAAAGATGTGGGGATTTTTGTGTGTGTGATTTTGGTTTTTTTGTGTTGTGGTTTTTGTTATGTTTTTTTGTTTGTTTTTAAAAGAAGTTGCCTTTCAAAAGGCTGGGCTGGATAATAAAATGGTAGGTGAAATAATAAATAGGAAGTAATGCATGTGCAGAAGGGTCAAGAAAACTTCAAAAACATACATGTGTATTCATATGCACTCAACTGTTAATTCTGTGGAAAAAGGTATGTGAATTATCTTGAGGAGTTTCTGAAAATAGCTTGCCATTCAGCATTTTGGAAGGGGAAGTAAAGGTCTTGAATTACTTGGAGGGGAAGCCCAAAACAAAATAAAAACCAACATCACACCTTTGTATTATATCCATGGCGTAGTTCCATGAATGCTGCAGTTTTAATTTCTTCCTCTCAAAAACATACTGTAGGATCAGAATAGTTACAGAATGGCAGTGAGGGTAGTTAAGGGTACTTCCCTGCAAACAGCTTCACTACAGGGGCAGAGTAAATGAATCACATTGCCTTGGTTTGGAAAGCACATATTTCTTTTAAGATAAGAAAGATCTATAAATCATCAATGATAAGGGGAAGAAAATAATGGATTATTTCTTTCAGTCTTTCTCATAGGAAAAAAAAAAGGGCCCCTCAATTAACTTGTGGTGCTTTACATCAGCCTGCAAATAAAAGAAAAGCAATTAAACTCTTACTACACACCTTATAGGCTCTGTGGTAATAATTTCCACAGTTCAGCTATGGACAGTAGGTATGTATGTGTTCCAGAAAGAGGCAGATCCATCAGGGGCTACTAACAATGATTCAGATGAGCCATCATTTCAGGAAGCCTCTAAGCCATTTACTAACAGAAGTTGGAAGTTATTGATGTGTCCGTACCTCATAGCTTAACATTTTTTATTTTCCTCCAAGTGCTAGTAATAATTACAGTTGGAAGCAAGGGCCACGACAACCTTGGATATGACCTAAGATTAGAGTACGAGGTGAAATGATGTGGCAAGATGCAGAATCAGTGTCCATTAAAAAAGCATCTTTATGAAACTACGAAAGGATGTTAAACTTGAAGAAAATACTGAATTGTGTGTCTGTCTAAGGATTAAATGAGGGTGAAAACTGAAGATTTATGGTTTGTTCTTTTGCAGTGTTGGAGATGAGAAAGAAAAAGCAGGAAAACACATGTAAAGCTATGCAGGCTGTAGAGGGCAAGGAAGGAGCCTTAAGGTCTTCAAAGAAAAAAATTGTTCATGAGAAGGTTAAAACAATGTTTACCTAAATATGTACATAGACTGAAATATGATTATTTCAGTGTTGCTCTGAAAAAAAAAATTATTGTAAGCTTTCTCGGTATTTGCTGCCTTTGTAGTGGATTCTGTAGGACTACTTGCAGTTGGAACAGTTTTCAGCATCCCTATTCATGGGCATTTATGTGTGTTTGATCTGATTTTTTTGCATGTATTAACGCTGAAGTCCATGTCAAAATTCATTAGGATAAAACCATTAACACTGTAAAACTCTTTCTACATCTGAGAGCTTTCACTATGTATTTGCAGCTATATATATGGAATTAGAACATATACTGGGAAATAGTGCTGGGTTTGTGTTACCAGCTTGAGAGCATAATTATATTAAACCTGTAAGACTAACTCTTAGAAGTCCCTGAATGGATGTGGAAGCTAAAGAGCTCCATTGTTGCTAATGTATCCAGCAGGCTGTGCTTGCAGTTGGCTGTTTGGCCTCCTGGAATCTGACAACGGACGGTAGCTGAGTGTTTGAGCTGAAATATTCCTTTATGTATAAACCCATTTCCTTGAATATTTTGCCTCTGTCATCTGTAGTGCTCCCTCAACTTTTTGTTTTCATTCTTAAAATTAATTGACATGCTGTGGTGACAACTCCTGTTTTTCTCCTTTTCTGTGTCTTATGACTAGGAGAAGGCTATGGAATGCAGAAGGATAGACATTACAGATACCATCCTGAGCTATCATGTGACCTGGCCTAAGTCTTTCTGTCAGTGTTGTCATTCTTGTCTGAGTTGGCTTCAGAAAGAACCTGGGAAGTGTTAAAGATCCTTGAGGACTGTTTCTTTATTTAGGAGTTGTATACAGTATAAAACATGACCTATTCCTATAACTGCAAACCTGTTTCTTATACCTTCTTAGAATAAACTTAATGTAGTAACAGTCAGTGAGCTTTTCCAGAGAAGAATGTTTTCATTAGAAAAGTCTTGCCTCTCTTAATCATTCTTGCTTGCTCACAGGCTAGATTAGGGACCTTCTTTCAGTTTGTTTCCTCTGAAGAATTAATTTGTTATCCTTCAGAAACATACCCATATGGTGTATAAATGTGTTATGTTCTGTTACTCTCAAGCAATAGCTGATGGGAATAAATGTTTACATGATGTGTTTAAGTTAATGGCTTCTGCTGTCTTTCTCTTCTCATTTCTTTCTGACAAACACTTTTGTGAAAACTGTCATAATTTTCTTAGTTTTGAAGCATTATCTGAAGTAAAGCTTGCAAAACACAAGTCTTCAGAAGCAGTTTAAAAAAAAAATACAGCATAGCCAGTTTTACTATGCGACTTAGATTCTTCTCAGAGAACATAGCATTTCTTTTTGAGAAACTAATTACTAGAAAAGAAACTGTAGATATGACTATGTGATGTAGTTGTAAGATGTGATGTTTTTCTGTTAGACCACACTTTCTCCAGAGCTTTTGAGTCCAAATCAAGAACATCCAAACCAAAAAGTGAGTTTGAGAAAATGTTAGAATAGAAACCATCATGGTTTACTGGTAGTTTTGTTTTTGTTTTTCCATCTTTCTTAGCCACCTTGTAACTGTTTGCTGTCAACAAAATAGCAAAAATCAATTGTGTTATTAATTATGGACTCATTTATTTTCAGATCTCAATAGAGAATGACTACCTAGGCCCCAGAAGAATTGAGAGTCTGCAAAAAGAAGATGCCGATTGGCAGAGAAAAGCCCACATGGCTGTGCTTTCTATTCAAGATCTTACGGTTAAATACTTCGAAATAACAGCTAAAACACAGAAAGGTAGATATTTTCTGCTCTCCTATAAGAAAAATAAAAGATCTTAAAAAATTTATTTTATTTTTACCATATTCTGTATTGTACTGAGATTTTAATTTTTTTCAGCAGTCTTCCATTTTTCTTTTGTCTCCTTTCAAATCTTTCACCAATAAGCCTTTTTAGAATGTCAGCGGAAGTGAGCAAAATAGAAATTTTAGATAAAGTTTCACAGCTGCTTTCTCAATGTGATTGTATCAGCTGCACTGTACGTTTGCAAAGACTTTAGAGAGCATAGAGTTCCCAAGGGATTCTATCTTCTGTACTGGCTATAACAGAACCACCTTAGTAAGTGCTGATTACCTTTCAGTTAATTTCTTTTTCTTGTCTCCCATGCCTTTAAGTAATTTCTTTTATTATCTCTGAATATTAAGTAAGTTAAATTCAGTTTAATTACTCAGTGAAAGCTGCTCTGTTGTTCACCAGTATTCATGGGTATAACCTTGGCATTTCTGTGCTTGAAGAATGTGGCAGTTTTATTGAAGAGTTGGTGCAATAAAACAAGGTCATATGACTTGCCACTTACATCTGTGCTCTCATGGTACTGTTTTGCCTTAAAAAATCAGCTTATTAGGGCAAACACACCTGAGCATGTTATTTCATTACACCTCTTTTAGTTTAATTGGGGGCTACCACTGACAGTTTATGTCCCACCGTCTTCCCTGCTGGACTGCAAATTCCTTTGTCTGCCTTGGTGATAATGAATTTGCAACCACGTAAGTGAGCTGTTCCCTTAGGAGAAAATCTTTTTTGATGGGTAGGTTTCTCTGCATGGCTGCTAGATCTGCTTCAAGAGGAGCAGTCACTGCAAAATTACTCCTTTTGATGGCAACCTGAGTATAACATGAAACTCCACCCTACTTTGAAAAAGTGACTAAACTAGTCCAAGCATGTGGGGATGAATTTAATTAGAGCAACTTCTAAGTGTATCTAATCTGTTTGGTTCCTTTTCTAGTATGAGACTGGCAGCAAACAAAATACCCCATCAGTTGATTAAAAAATGTATATTTACAGTTACTAACTTTCGTTTATTCACATTTTTTATGTCCAGTGAACAGGATTGTGAGGAGGAATGCTGGGAAATTAAATGCCTAGGGACTGTTTAAAACCATAGACGTTGGATGTACAGGTTACTTGCCTGTTCTGCTATCTTTTGGGGTATTGTTTTGGCCTCCTTCCTGATCACAGGGTGGTCTTACATACCAAAATACTAGCAGATGGCAGAGTCAAAACATATGACAACATGAAGGTATATTTTATTACCTAGCAACAGCATGTAATATCTTCTGGCAGCTGGGGTCTCAATGCTATCCCTTAGACTGACTTCTGTGGCTTTTACTTTGCAAATAGGAGTGTTCCATATTGTGTGACAACTCTCTATATTAAAAATGGTGAAAATCCCATGTGTGTCAGCATAGATGTGGTCTGGGACTCAAGAATAGAAAACCTGAATCAGGAAAGGGACTCCTGCTCCTCTGAAGTCTTCCTGAAAAGATTCTTATTCACCCCTGCATATTAAGATCAGATCATAGCTTGTTTAGTTCATTTGAATTAGTTTTGTGAAGCAACTTGCAGTTTGAGTTCAAAGATAGATGTTTTTAAAATTCAGTCAAGTATTCTTACAGAATTGTACTTAACTTGAAGTTGAATTTTTCTACTTAATTTTTAATTTATTTTTTTTCACTGCAGATTTGTTTAAATTTGTAACTGTATTATAGAAGTTATCAGGGGAAAGCACAGTCTATAGTAGCTGAGAACTAGGGCTTTCAGAAGCAGGAAAAACTTAGGATGCAGTTTAAGACCACATAGTCTTAAATGACATTTTTATTAAGTCAGGAGTTCTGAAAGAGTGGTTCAAGTGGTCAGGTATACTCAGAATGGTCCTTCTGTGAATAACAAAAATTGAAATTAGTTGCAAGATTATCAACAAATAGCTGATTTTATATTTATATTAATCCTAAGAGTACTTACATGCTGGATGTTAAGGTTAGTACTGTGTAAAATGACTACTCCCTGCTAAGAGAACTTTGTATTCTTTTGGATTCAAATGTGTGCATTGTCTCTGTGGTAGAATCACTAGTGACTGAAGAGTAGACTGGTAATCTGTCTGCCTTTTCTTCCTTTCTGTAGCTGTGTACGATCGAATGCGAGCAGACCAGAAAAAATTTGGTAAGGCAGCATGGGCAGCAGCAGTGGAACGTATGGAAAAGCTTCAGTATGCAGTTTCTAAGGAGACACTGCAGTTGATGCGTGCTAAAGAAATCTGTTTGGAGCAGAAGAAACATGCACTCAAAGAGGAGGTAATTTTTCATACTGATACACAGAAAAATAAAACATGCAGAAAACCCCCAAAATTTAGGAGTGTTGATGTATGTAAAAAAAACTCCACAAAACAACACCAAAACTCAGACTTGAAAATCACTATTTTTCCACTTCTAATAATAAAAGTTTGTATTCAAAATTTTGCTTTAAACTTTACGCCATGTTAGAAAAATTGAGCTACAACATACGTGTGGTGGGTTTTGTGCCATTTATTTATATTTTGTGTTCACCTTTTCCTGGTTAGTGAACCAAGAAGACGGGTTTTCCTGTTAATGTTTACAGCTGTCCACTGAGCTGAACAAAATTAAGAGAAGGTGTAGGACAGAAATCTGCTGCTATGTAATCTCCACACTTAAACTCTTAGAGGTGTGACCATGTTTTTCAAATAGTTCTTGGCATTCTAGATGGAAGTTGTCTGAACATTAGTAAATATATAGATGACCAGCCTGTTCTACTGCACCCTTTTTGTTTCTGCTTACCCTAGTTATTAAGGCAGTCTTCCAGAGGGAGTTAGCTAACTAAAGCTTTCCTGAGGAAAGAGTATATGCATTGAACTGCATTTAAGTGTCTTAGTAGAAAAAACATTTATTGGTGTTTATGACATCTCCTCAAAAGCAAAAATGCTGCAAATCCTTCTAAAAATTTGCTATCGTACGGATATTCGGCACTAGGAACTTTCTGCTGTACATAGTTCATATTCCATCCGATCACTTGCTTGTTTTTAGACTGCTTTTCAAATTTTTCAGCAAAACTTGACTAAACCAGTGGCTCTGTTATGAAAAGGTTTTTCAGAGAGCTCACAACTTTAGCACTGCATAGATTGGTAGGTTTTAAGCCTGGTAGACTACATGCCTATTTTAGGAGTTTCTGTAGAAGACAGCTTGATCTGCAAGGAGTTAAGAGTACATGTAAGACTCAGAGTATGAAAATAAAGAATTTGCTCTATTTCAATACTCTTCATATTTAGAAAGCCAAGAGGTGTCTGGAAACCCGAGTTTATCAGGCTGCTGCTGTCTTTAACTAAGAGTTGGTAAGAGAATCCATCAATAATATTTGGAAATGCCGTATTTAATATGTTCATGTATGTAAGGCAGCCATGCATCATCTTTTCCGTAGCACATCTTTCCTCGCAGTGGACACCTTGTGTGAATTTTTGTGGAATGACATCTCAGTCTAGTAAATGAGCATTTGATTGTTTTGATGTGCTGAAGCATGGGAAAAGGGGTTCATTGCAGTATACGGGGGGGTAATGGGCTGTGAACTAAGAGATTGGGGCTTTTGGGGACAGAAATGAGCAAGATCTATCTGATACACGTGGGCATAGTGCTTAGGGATGATGTATTACAAGGCATAGAGAGCTCAAAACGTGGTGATGGGGAGATAAGAAGACCAACTTACATTTTGAAAGATCTTTTTTTTGCTTCAAGAACATGATAGCCCTAATAAACATGCAAAGTTGAATGTGACACGCATGACTAAGAAACCTATATTGGAGAGTAGGTGTTGCAGTATTATCATAAAGAAAATACTTTGTGATTAGGTAGGCTGGTTTATTTGGAGGAGAGGACAGCAAAAAAAAAAAACAGCAACAAAATACAAAAACATAATGCATGTTCTCCTTTAAGCTTGAAAAGTTAAGACCTTCCTGCTGTGGTCAGAAGTGTAAATTTGCTCTCACTGAGTAGGAAAATGAGACACATGGGACATAATATACTTGTTTCGCTTACACTTAATTTCCTCTTCTCCAAATCTAAACCTACCCTGCTGATTGATTTTTAAGAGAGACAGTAAAAATGTCCTTGTTTTTATAGTTTTTTTTAATATTAATTGAGCATTTTTTCATTTCCTAAAATGATTTGACATGGTAAATATCTAGAAAGCTACTAGATTTTTCAAGTTATTATGATATGACAATTGTTTGTTTAGGTGATTAGTTTAGTTACAAATATATTTTTTTGTTCGACAACTCAATATGATAGCCCTATAATTATCTGTTAAAAAAGTAATCACTCCAGACAAATTATGTTGCATTTTTTTGTTTTCCTGATTTGTTCCTTTTAAGTTTCGTGTCTTGTTCTGAATTTTGTTTGAGGAGAATGATGAAAACATTCATTTTGAGGTAGACCAGAGCCTGCTTTCATGAACTGGTTGCCAAGTCTTGTCCTCGTGACAGTAAACAGGAACATTAAATCAGAGTGAGAATCCTTTGTAATTCTCTAAGTATGTAAAATAGCTTGGACAAATGGAAGTGAGTGACTGGAGACTTAAATTCCAACAAGTCCCATCTTGTATATGTAGGATTCAGTAACTAGGCTTCTCTCCTTTTAGAAGCATGGAGTTAAGTTCCAAAGATACACATCAGAAACAATTTTTAATTTACATTATAAATGTTCTGCAGTGTTTTCATTAAAAAAAAAAGGATATTCTAACAAAGTACTGCTTGTTTTTTTAAAGAATATTTCATAGTTTTACAGTTGTAGGAGTACTTTACTTTCCTGTAATTGAGCCTGAATCAAACATGTATTTGCTTCTAATTACTTTGAATATTTAAGCATATCTTGCCTTTCATGACTATCATTTTGATTTTGCCTGAGTTGGATGCATCAGCAAAAATTAGAATTTTATTAAGGATTCTATTCAAGAAGGCATGAATAGCTATTTCTGAAAAATTAATCTTTTTAAGAAATGGACAATGATTTTGGTACAGATGCAACATAGTATTTTTTTTAAGATGTGTTTCACCTTTTTAGTTTTCGTTGTGTCTTTTTAAACCTTTTTTTTTCTGGGACAGCTTTTTGGAAAGGCTAGGGAAGAAGCTGAAGTTGGGAAATCTTTGAAAATTTATTTAAACATATTTGAAGTATTGTTAATAGCATAATAGGAATGCATTTACTTTCTTCACTTTGAGTGTTCAAATTGGTAAACTAAAATTGGTTGTAAAATTTATAGGTGGTTTTTTTCACCAGCTAAATCAAAAGTTAAAAAACCTTTAAAAATAAAAACTAATCTAAGTGGTAATTGTTTTTAAATAGTATTGAAAGTAGATGGCTTTCGGCACCCAAAAGAAATAAATGGGCTTCATTCTATAGACAAAACCTGGGTATCAGAGTTAGTTTTTTAAATAACACACTGAGACATTATTAGAAAATTACTTATTAGTTATGGTAGCCTACTTGGGACTTAATGGTTATCAAAAGCCACATAAGTTCTTTTGATATAACAACATTAGAGCATAATTTAATTTTATACTTTTTTTCCCAGATAATGACTGGGTAATGTATTTTAAAGAGTATTAAAGAGGGCAAACCATAGCATTTGAAGAGACTTTTTTGTTTGAAGGGTTTTGTGCGTCAGTGACATTCAGTTCCCATTTGCTGCGAGAAAGAAAAGGATGAGGTATTCATAGTCACAGATTCAGTGCAGTGTTAACAAATTGGAACTGAAATACCGTATCTGACAAAAAAAATTGCTCCAGTTTTTTAGGCGTGTAAGATAAAACCAGGATATTCCTTTAAAAAGGTTAAAATGCTCATGGAACTAATTTAGCACAGTTTGAGTTGAGTATTAAGATGGAAAGTACAACATTTCAGAGCAAGGACCAGATCTGGCTGTTTACAAGGACACTGTTCATGTCCAGCAGGTTGCGTGTGGATTTTTGAACATGTAGTCTTGGAAAACATACAAGTTTATAAAAGCAGTGGTGTGCCCTTTTTATGGAGAAAAGATGTTTCTTTTAGGGTCTGAAATTTTTCTGATTGCCTAGGATACTAATTGTGAGTGATCATCTTAACCTTGTTTTTTTTTAATTTACTGTATCCTGTAGTATTGTGGCCTGACTGTAGTTGACTGATGATACTTAATTGGTTGGATGAATGCTTCTGTTCCACAAGTTGCTAGGTATGAGAGCCAACCTTCTATCAGTGGTCAGAGTACTCAGTGTTTCCCTTAAAATAATTTAGAAATTACTTAAAATTATTTTCTGTTGACTTTGAAGATAGCCTTACATACTAACACTTAAGAGACCTGAGGGGTTTTTTTCTGGGTTTTACTCTGTTCTTCTGAGATTTCTCAGCAGCAGTGATGATTGAAAATCTGTACTTACCTAGAAGAGCAGTCAGGATTCATATGGTGGGGATTGAAACATGACTTTATATTGTGGCTGAACAGTTAGCAGATTACTTAAAGTACTAAATAAAAGAAAAATTAATAATAGCAATTAATATGTATTGCTAGGAAAAAACTAATACAGATTTTTACTGTGAACTGCAGGTTAATTACTTTTTAAATGGTAGGATCATGGAATGGTTTGGGTTGGAAGGGACCTTAAAGGTTCCAACTCCCCTGTATGGGCAGGGATGCCTCCCACTAGACCAGGTTGCACAAAGCACTGTCTTACTTGTCCTTGAACACTTCCAGGAATGGGGCATCCAGAGCCTCCCTGGGCAGCCTCTTCTGGTGTCTCACCACCCTTAAACTAAGAATTTCTCCGTAATGTCTAACTTAACTTTACCCTCTTCCAGCTTAAAGCCTTTACCTCTTGTCCTATCACTGCTCTCTCTGGTGAAAAACCCCTCCCCAGCTTTCCTGTAGCCCCTTCAGGCACTGGAAGGCTGCTGTGAGGTCTCCCAGAGCCTTCTCTTCTCCAGGCTGAACAGCCCCAGCTCTCTCAGCCTGTCTGTGTAGAAGTGGTGCTCCAGCCTTTGGACCACCTTTTTGGCCCTCTCTGGACTTGCTCCAAGATCTCTGTGTCCTTCCTGTGTTGAGGGCTCCAGAGCTGTATACAATACTCCAGGTGGGATCTCATGAGTGCAGAGTAGAGGGGCAGAATCACCTCCCACAGCCTGCTGGCCACACTTCTTTTGATGGAGTCCAGGACACAGTTAGCTTTCTAGGTGGCAAATGCACATTGTCTGCTCATGTTGAGCTTTTCATTGACCAACACTCTCACGTCCTTATCCTCAAGGCTGCTCTCATTCCA